CACAATCAAGCAGAGTTCACATTTGACAATATTTCGAGGGAGCATCCTGTCATCTCGTGGCAGACACTGGGCAACTAGTCATGCTTAAATCGTCGCCACATCTGCAGACCGTCCGAGCCCTCAGCAGACAATCCTCCGTCGCCAGTGTCACGTGAGAAACGGATAGAAGTTTCTGCGAATGCGCTGACACCTCCAAAGCATTCACCAACCCACGCCTTCCTTGCGTGTTTCACCGTACTGTTGCAACTGCATCTCTGTCCTCGTGTTCGAATCGGGCGAGCCTGAGAAGCAAAGAAGCACATTATGACATTCGCAGTAGCCTGTCTAAGGCTCTAAGCTCCGACTCCGCCGGGGGCCGCTGCTTGGGCCGAGGACGCCGCTCGCTGGACAAGCGCTTGAAGCTGTCACTGGTCCCACTGAGGCCTACCGTGCTGTTCTGCACAGGAGCTACAAACATGTAATCACATGGACTGTAATGTAAGGAAGCCTTCCAGACGGATGCGAGTCCTGGGAAGAGCTTCGAGTGCCACCTGGACAATCAAACATCTTCCGGAAGCTGGAACCCCCTTGGGCCGGACAGATCTTCGCAGACCTCGTTATCTTGCTGGCTGGTAGCCTCGGCTGGTGCCGCTTTGCTCTAATTTGTTAGACTGCCCAGCAGCCTTAGCAGCACGGGAGAAAAAAGCAACGAGCACCAAAAACATGGGGCCCTGCAAGCTCGGATCGCCTGAGGACATCAGACACCACCCGACATCATTTGCTGTTGGAAGGCCCAGACCTCTGAGGAAGACCGACAGACTCCTGCAAGATTCAGTGCGAAAACACCACTTAACAATCCTCAGAACACACCGAGCACGCAAGCTTTTCTGCGCATGTGCCTCCAACACCTGCAGTCTGCATGTCAGAGATGTAACCTCCATACTGTTTTGACCTGCAACATGCCGATGATGCTTCAGCAACTCCAAACGTGCAGCCACAACTTCGCTGAGCATCCGGCCAAGTTCATCCAGGGATGCTTCCAACACCTCGCTGAGCTTGACCTGCGGCCACTGTAAAAATCACGGCTAGAAAGGACTGACATTGCAACTCAGTAAGGCTGTCGCGCAATGAGTGTTACAGTCTTTCACCGCTGCAGTCGTAGTCGACCAGGCCTTTTGCCAGAAGGACAGTGCCTGCCAGAGGATCCGCAGTGCCCGTCGTGCAATGTGACGTAGTCTGACTCACCGCATGTGCACGACGGATTCGCTCCGATTCGGCACCTCCGCAAACCGTTCCTCCCAGTGCGCTTGCAACTGCACCTCACTGTGAAAATGACGTTGAGGGAGCTGCTGCAAACAATTCCGGGACTCGGTAGCTGCCCGGCCAAATTCGAACCGACCCTCCTCAGGGCTGCACAAGCTTGGCCTGGACTGCAAGCCAATTACAATTGCGTATGAGCATGTGAATGCTGACTTCAATTACGGCCTGACTCAAAAAACCGCCAACACGCATCGTCTACTGGTGAGAGCAATGTAGTGATGTAGAATTACACCAGAACAACTGCTGCAGGCGCACAAGGAGTTGTGATCTGTTCTCAATTGTTTTGTGAGAAAATGCCACTCAGATAGAGATGGGCAGCAGTGAGTACGACAACAACCAAACTGCCATGGAGCAACTTCCAGCCAAGAGAAGCAGGGGACAAGAATGTACCAACACAGCATACCGGGGTTATTGCCCTCCCTGATGCGATCATGAGTCACTTGAAAGGCGTCGGTCCGCCGTCTGTCACAAACTTTGGATGAATTGCACTAAATTGCCTCGTGCTCTGCCCGCTGCTCAGCCAAGGCCTGCTGGAACCTGCAGAAAGTGAAGCTGTGAAAAGCATTTCGCCAAGAAAGCTTGGACTTTGCCTTCCCAAGGCCGAAGTTTCGGAATGGCACTTTCCATCCTTTCAGGCTTGATTTCACGGACCGGAATTCGCCTGTCGTTGACTTCCGTTCCTGCGAAAGCTCGTTGGAACCAAAGTCGTTTCCTGTTGCTTCCAGCCTCATGGCATATGCAGCACGCAAGGCATTATTCGTGCCGTTCTATGCTCCTCAGCATTACAGACATGTCCTGGCATTGCATCTTAGAACGCATGCGGCAGTCGGTCACGATGCCCTCTCACACACACACGCAGACGGCTGCAGTCGGCCGTCTTTAAGCACCGCGGTCCCCATCGCAAAGGATTACCTCAGCCTTAGTGGCTGAAGGTGATGATGGCGACGTGCTGCTGCACAGCAGAGCTTTGGCCCCAGCAAAGCAACTGCTTCTCCAACTGCGCTAATGGAGTACAGAATCTTCTGATGGGCTGCCGGGTACGCTGGTAAAGAAGATACATAACAAAAACTGTCGTGGATAGCACTCGCATCTCAAGCATCAGTCGCCTGCAAAAACCGAGAACGCTCCGAGAAGTGCCGCGGCACGAGCTCTGTCTCAGCGAGGTCCCATGGTTGCTGGCACGTCCAATTGACCGCGTTCTCTGTCTGCTTAATCGGTGTGAAATGTTGGTTTCGCTGTCCATCCAACTGACGGTGGCATTGATTGCAGGCCCGACCCTCTAAGCCGCATGCCTCCTTGGGCGAGCATGTGCGCAAACATCGCAGTGCCGCGACCTGGCGCCTTGTACAAGACTACCGGATCAACTCGAGCATTGTGCATGGGCAGAGGTCGAGGAAGCACAGCATTCTCCAAAGTTGTCAGGTCCAGATGTATCCCGGAGTCCAACATGCACCGGACAGTAAGTAGCGAAGATCGTCGTGTGCAGTCCAAGCTGGCTCCGATGCCAAGCCGTGGCAAGGGCATCATGGGCAGGATCTGAGGCAAAGGTGAGGTCGTAAGCAAAATGCGCTTGAAGGTCACGAAAACACCAGTCAGGCCTGGACTCCGACGCTGATGCGCTCACATGCGCGGAGCTCCAGGCTTCCGGGATCGGCCTCAAATCGCGCGAGTCATGTGCACGTACTAACCAGGACTTGTCCTGAACCTTTCAGACCATTTCCGGCAGCAGACCATGGGTGTGTTCGCGGCCTGATACTTGCAGTATGTGTATGCGGACGAACGAACCACCGCCTGGGGCAGTCCACATTGTTGAACTCTGCTCATCCCGTCACCGCCAAGGACTTCAGAGGCTCCGCCCCGGCGCATGCTTCAGGAAACACGTGCCTCAGGGCCTGCAGCATGCGTAGCGGCAGCAAATACATCGCACAAGTGCGGTTGGACCATGCGCAGGACGAGCGACAGGCATTGCCCGGATCGTGCGCCATGGCGCACAGCCAAACGGGCTGCTTGCCTGCTAGTGGCGACAGATGCAGGCTCTGCTGCTTTGACCTGCACGTTGTCACCACACTTCGGTGCTGTCCTCTTCGTGATCTCTTTGGGGTCTTTGCAACAGGGAGCATGCTACACCCATTCTCCCTGGCTCCACCGCTGCTTCGTGACTTTCACGATCCGTCCTTTGGTCGAATGAGCTCATAGGCACGTCCAGAATGCGGCCTCCCAAAATGGAGGACCCCTCGCCTCCATGGCTCTTTGTTGGCATCTGTGATGACGATGTGGTTGCATGCATGTGGGAGCTCTAGACCCTATCCAACTAGCATTCCTCGAAGTATCAAAACAGGCAACGCCATGGTTACTAACCGGAATGATTGTTGGTCCCAGTATCGCTACAGCAACTACAGTACATTGCACCGGACACCTCTGTTGTGGCGATGCGTTCTTGTCGGGTCTTGAGTCTTGATGTTGCACCAGGTGCAATGCGAATTGCCAGTTCTCCTTATGCTCCAGTCACTGCCGAGGCTGCGTCCCTTCTAAAGCTGCTGCAGGAGCCACTTGATCAAGAACTCTTTGCACCTGGCCAGCTCAAACATCTGAACTCCGCGCAACATGACATTTTTTGAAACCGGACTTGATGACTGCCAGCATGACATTGAACCTGCTACGTTTTCCACGGCCTCCTGGTCACAACGGATGAACTGGCCGTTCCTGTTCCAGTCCGCTATAAGCATCCGAGTCTCGACAGGAAACCACGAGAATCCGAGCTCAAAAAGCTGTGGGAGAATACTTCAGCTGACGTTCCCAACAGCTGGTTGCCTGCATGACGACTGCCTGTAGAAGTCGGCGGTGTGCCGGAACGATGTGGGTGTAAATAAAAACTTAGAGCCCAAGATCAGGCCATTTCTCGAGGCGGATCCGCAAAAACCATGACACAGCATGACTGGAAACTTTGGGTTTCTGGTCGTGTCTCACAGTGCAGCAATACCCCCTTTGGACTCAGAGATTTCGGCTTCGTAGATCGTCGCGAGAAATCGTCCAGTCTGGGTTCGGGGATGGGTTGGCTTTGTGGAAACTGTCTCAAAAACTTCCCCCAACAGTGTAGTCGCACTGTGGGGTTCTTGCATTCTTCAAGACAAAACAACGTGCCCCTGGTTGGTTGCACCCCGTAGTTCCTGTGGCGCAGATCGCATTCTGGACTTAGATCGCGTTCTCAAAGTCTCTGCCGGCCAAGGCTGTCCGGGTCATTGTCGAACCCGGAACGCTCTCCTACTAGGTCGCTTCCAACACGTGGAATCTGTGGTCAAATCCTGTGCTCCGGTGTTCATGTGGTGCAAAACACATTATTTTTTTCAGGGAAACCTCGTTCGGTCTAAATGGCCTGTGCTTCCACTTGCCGACATCGTGCTCCCGTGCTCTTGCCACAACATCTTGGACTTCTTGGGATGGTTTGGGTGCTCCTCGAAAAGTTCTTGGGCATGTAAGGCTTCGACTGCTGTTTGGGGTCTACGCAAGAAAAATCGCCGTTTGAAGACTCTAGAGGCTCTGCTTAGCAGTGCCTCCATTCGGCATTCTGAGGTCTGCAATTCTGTGGGGGCTGTCTCGAAAACTCGCTTCTAGAAAAATGACCAACCAAAAAAACATACATATATATATATATATATCTATAGTTGTCATATGTTGTCATCCATTGTTATGTTCTTCTAGAAGACTGTAAAGCCGGATCTGAGATGTGAGTGTAGACTTCACCGGCATTTGCAGCACTGTCAGTTCTTAGAGTCTTGCTCCGGATCGAAGGAAATGTGTGGACATGGCCGGCTCGATTATTGGGATGACTGGCAAGGGACCAAAATCCAAACCTCAGGGACCAGTCTTACTTTGATGCCAACATATTCGACGAGTGTCGGTTCCATGCTTCGAAACATCAACAGAAATTCCTGAGCAACTGCGGTGGCTGGAACTGGGTCCCTTGATGGCCGTTGGAATTAACCACATGTGCAAGAGGTGACTGGGTCGACACTACACAACACTAACAACAAGATCCGGAGCTGCAGAATTGCCCGGAAGGTGATGCGGCCGCTATAACTGCGCCGATCACCGCAAGACGAGCATCTGATGCTCTCGAGAGAACCGAAGCGGAGATCTTGATCCGTGACAGCCACCAACTTGGTCACCACATGCAGCCGCCATCAACAGCCGGAGCTCGGCAGAGGTTCTGGCTTATGGCCGAGGGATGCGGAATTTCGGATTCGAGCGCAGCTGTCTTGAGAATTTCTGTACCGCCAAAACGAGTCATCTCGGCTCCAGAACTCGGTGGCCTAATGTCGGTTATTTGTTGGTGTGGGTCGCTGGGCTCTCTTAGTCCAGGTCCCATGGCTGCAACAAAATTCCTAAGCTGTGGGAAGAATATGGGAGTGCGCTGAACCAAACAGTTATGGACACGTCATTGGGATTGCTTTTGGAAACATGGCACGTCACTGGAATTGCTCCTTGAAACATGGCACGTCATTGCAGTAGTTCCTTCGAACATGGCGTGAATACATGCGACTGCCTCTTAGAGCATGCATTAGCTTGTTTCAGCTTTACACGCGACGGCATGGCACCATATGTCGGCTTATGGCATCGGGCATGAAGCCCGGACCCTTCTTCCTCGTTCCCGAGCGAATCCAGTTGTACAAGGGCATGTCGCTGCCCTTCCAGGCTACCTGCATTTATTCCGTGGGCTGCAAAGGACCTTGGACACACTGAACCGAGGGACACACACAATCCACACAAACGGCTGTCAAAGGCGTCAAGCTGCTTGATGCTTTGGGGATTATTTCGGCTGCAGCCGTGTGCTTTCCTTCGAGAGACAGCCGGCCAGGCTATTTGGAGTCTTTCTTCTTCACAAACAAAACCATGGCTGACCCCCCGGGTCGAATGGCTAGGCCACGGCGAGATCCTCCACCGCCTAAATACAATTGCTTCAGCCATGACCAAATACGTACAAGGCCTAGCAGAGCACCTCCAGGAGCATGTTCGGATGCGAATATCGCTGTCGGGTCGGTATGTTTGGATCCGGGTACTTCCGACTTGGACGATAGCTCGTTGGATGTTGCGAACACAGCCTTCGGCTTCGGCAGTTTTGCACCGACACCCAAGTGCATCCGACGTATGCCTTCCCACCTTACATACCTCCTGGGCTAAGCAGATGTAGATACTGATGATTCGACTTGGGATGCACGCAGCTTGCCCCGACTGAGACGAGCCCAAGAGCAAGAAACCTGCACCCAGCCGGAACTTACTTCAGTGTCTTCCGATGTCTTCCGACAGGCTGGACTCTGACTGGAATTTTCTTGTGGACCTGGATTATGGCTTTGAGAAGTGGGCCCGAGACCTAGCCATCGGCACCACAGCAGGAACAGCTTGATTAGTGGGCACAATATCCCACGCTTCTTCAGTCTGCGCTCGCACCTGCTTTGCTTAAAGTGTTCCCAACATAATCGGTCTCATGGAGGTTTTCTTTGGGCAACAAATCACGACAACCAGCAACACTGGACTTCGCCGCGGCAAATGGGATCGCTTAACACCCCCCCTCGCCTACTGCTACCACTACACGAAGTCAGAGTCGCCTGGGTCCCAAGTCCCAAGGTGCTGGACCCCTTCCTCACTTTAGAACATACTTTCAATTGTTGCCTCGTTCTGCCTGACTCATTTGCACATCCAGCGCAGCTGCGAGGGCGGAGGCTGATTCCCACCCAGCTCTGTTGGGCGAACATTTAGGCGGGATCACGGCTTACACCACGATTTCCTCAACACATATGACCAAACGACACGAGTTCCAAAGCCAGTGTAGTAAAACTCGCAGGACGGCACCGCCACCTATCGATGCCGCCTACTTTGCAGTTCTCTTGGTGAAAATCGCCCGACCAATGCCCGCCCTCAGCCTTACATGCAATTACCTTTGATTGCTTCATGAACTGGTTGCCGAATGCTCCAGCTGACGCCATTGCCCTGCAGCAGCTGCATTTTATTTGGCCGCGGCAAAACCTCCATTCCATGGACGGCAGGCGGCTGGATCTTCGCCACTTGAATACAGGGGTTGGCCACTCTTGTTGGACGGACCTTTCAAAAGCTGGGGAACCGCAGCATCAGGAACTTCGCTTGGAGAGGCTGCTTCATGTAAGAGTTGCACGCTCGGATTATAGCACGGTCAATTTCAGAATCTTTCAAGTCAGTGCCTGTGATCCTGAACTCCTGCGCTCGGTGCAATCAATCCCAGACGGTTGTTGGAATATGCACAAGTCCACTATAGATTTCACTATCTCCTTATGCCATGCAAGCAGCTGTCACGGTGTGTAAGCCATTCCCTGATGCTCGCTCACCTTAGCCCTTGGCGCATGGGGTCTTCCTCGCTTCCCCTACATCCTCGCGACCTACGAAGCATCCGACTCAGCTGCAACTGCAGTATCATGTGCACCGGCTCAATATGGCGGTCGCTGGACGAAGCCCAGAGCATCATGCACTCCGTACAGAGTCCGGCAGCCGCGAACGACCGAACCTCTACCCTGGCAAACTCAGGAAGTGCGGCTCTCGCGCTCTCACGTGATTCGAGGCCTGCTTCCAGGCCTAGGGCTACGACACCGAGATTTTCAGAAAGCTACAAGGCTCCTCGAAAGCGTAGTCGGGATGCTAGACAAGCGACCCTGGAATGGCATTTGGAACAAGCTCAAGAAGCAGTGGCGCTTGGGACCAACGTCAACTCCATCCTGTTATCGGCATTCGCGCCAAAGACACAACGATCTCAGGTACGGGTCCATGGCATCAAGGCTGAGATGCTTACCTATGTGGCCAGGAGCATCAGGCCATCGTCCCCAACTTTCTAAAGCTTTGTCAGTCAGCGGAACCTCGACCGCAACGGTCCATTTACCAGGTCAACGCTTTTATGTTTGAGCGGGCGCCGGCTTCTCTCAAGCTGGGCAAGGCGATTCTTATGATTCTTCCTGGCAGCGCACCCACTATTAGTGCGGCGCAGGCCTGGATGTCACGTCGCTGCGCCCACTGCGGAGTCCTGCCTGGGTGGGGGTTGTTGCACGCCGCCTCTATGGGCTGACGGCCCTCACGCCCAACGCTCGTAGACCATCCAAGAGGTTGGTCAATCTCCGCTTCTTGGGGCTACAGGGTAGTGGGGCCAACGCAAATGCTGCCAGAGTTCTGAGGGGGCTTTTGCTGCAATAACTTGACAATGCATTCGTTGCCCTTGTATGCATTCCTCCGGGGATGAAGCACTGAATCTGCAATAGCCAGGGCCGACCATTGTCGAAGCTGTGTGCTCCAATCACCAAGGTCAAGCTGCTACAGTACACACTAGACGTGCCAAGCAAAACGCGCAACTACTACGCCTTTGATCTTTCCACGGCCTTTGTGATTTCGCCGCGGGAGAACGGTTGAAGCAAGGAAACACCAATGGGGCGGAAGCGAGTGAGCCGCTGGTCTCAGCCATCTTGGAGTTATCTGAGGTGCGCAAATGCAGCATGCAGCTTCGAGGTCGCAAGCAATACATTAATGTCAGACCCGGGGTGAGGCAGGACTGCTGGCACCACTCCTTTGAATGGTATATTCTGCATACATCGCGCCCCATCTAGCTTTTGAGCTGACTCAGGCCTAGGTAGACGAACAGCTGACACTGTATGCAGATGACACTCACGATTGCTCGGTCTTGCAAACTCCAG